CGCCAAGGTATGCAAATTCCGACACTTGTTCAAATAAATGCCACTTTGGCACCAATCTTTTGGGGAGGGAAGGGTTGGAGGCTGACACCATATATTTTGTCTGGTTTTGGTTGACAATCAGGTCGAGACGACCTACCGCCGGCTCGAAAGTCAGGAATGTTTGGGATACTGTCTGATATGACCTGCCAACTATATCAGTCAACTATGGTAGACGCTTAACTGTGTTAAAAACAGTATCCAATGGTATTTCTTATCATAAGCACTATATCATTAAAAATCTGTTTGGAGCCAAATTTGCTTAACCACTGAAAAATACATGTCAAAAAACTGTTATTTTCTTTCCTTATCCCTATATTTTCCATCTTATTCTTAATGAGATGTAGTATAGACTGATTCACTACTATATCAAGACGTTCTCTATAGAGTTTAATTTCAAGTTATTATATTTTATCAATTTTAGGAATAAACATTGTCTTTATAGAACAGAATAGATTAAAAAATAAACTTTATTCTGGGACGAGGTCCCTTATGAATAACAGTTATGAACAAAAATCGCTGCAAATGATTTCACAATGGTTTATTATCTCCAAACAATTATACATCTAAAGTAACATTACCTTCCGAATTACAAAGAAAAAAAAACAAAAGGTGATTCCAATTATTGGACTAAACGGTTTTTCTTTAATCATTAGTAATATGCTAAAAAAAATAGCATTATTTCAGTAACACATTTAAAATTTAAAAACCAAACCAAGGATATAACATTTGGAGTAGAACACATTAAAAAAACCAGATACCATATCTTTGCTCCTAATTGTCCGATTTTAACGATTTTTTTTTGTTTTTAGGAAATTTAATAAACTTTGAAATATAATATATCATAATATATCAACAAAAAAGTAAACACTTTTCAAATTATTCGGAATTTAATTTTACCACCCCTCGTAACTTTCTTTCCAGCTTCTTTTCGTTGAAGTATGTTATAAAGATAAATTTAAGGGGCGTCGAGAAAATGACTTTAGCGAAGTTTCATTGAAATCTGTATATTCGTTTAGGAGCTACAGTCTATAGCAACGCAGGTTTTTCGGCCGCCATTTTGAAAGTTAAAGGCGGAGAGTAATGTCGATGAAGGAGGACCATCCTCGGGTGACCTCTGATTTTATATCAAAATTTGAAAAAAATCGGTCCAGTAGTTTCGGAGAAAATGCGCGGACGGCGGACGGACAAAAAAATTTAATTCGTTTTTCGAATTCTACGCATCTTGAAACGTGAAACCTCAAATTTTGAGAGGGGGTTATGTTTTTGAATTTTTTGGTCGATCACAATGTTTCATTATTGAAAATATTAAACCAAAATAAAAACTACATCTGCCCAAAAATTACATTAATCATCATCAAAGAATATGTATAGTATCTTCAGTAAAAGTACATTAAAACAAATAAAAATAACACAATTACGAAAAAACAAAAACATTATTTAGTTGAAAAAGACAAAACAGAAATCAGGTAAAAAATAAATAATAAAATAATATAAGCGTGTGTTGATATTTAAAATTAAAACTCAAACAATTTTAACTACCATTCACCTCAGTCAAAATCTGATTTACAATATTTATTTCATTATACTACGTCATTTTGGGATGTGAGAAGGAATTGGTAGAGATGATATTTAAATGAGGACATGGAAAAGGCATGGCGGATATCTGATAGCGAGGAATTACAAAGGCAATGGATCGGACAATAAAGGAGTAATTTTGATTGGAAGGTTTGAAGATTTTGTAGATGGGTCTTTTTAATGATACCATGTACAGGGTGTCCCGTAAGCATAGGAATAATAGGCATAATAGTATACCTTAAGGAATACAAAAATTTCATATAAACAATTGGTTAATTCTCAGAAGAAAAGTAGGAAATCCAAGTTCAGTGTTTTTCTAAGTGTCATGCCTTCTAATAAAAAGAAACGATAGCTAAAGAAATATTCAATTAAAGTGATTTACAATTGTTTCAATGTAAATTACATAAAATTTTCTTAAAATTAAAATAATGATTACCATTGTTAGATCCATTTAAATAGGACCTTTGAGCTGCTAAACTTGGCTCAATTAGATTTTTAAAAACATCATAAATTAATGAAGATTTTTTTAACCTTCATCGACTGTACTATAGGTACCCTACTTTTAGAAAAACCTCTTCGTTTGATAAGCTTCAAATACATATTAATTAAATTAAGGTTTATCAGGCAAATTCTTGAGATTAACCTCAAGTTGTGTAATGAAATGTAGCGGATTTTTTTTCTTTTTTTTGTTCATGCCACCTAAAAATACATGTGCTACAATTAAATGTTGCAAAGCTTTAATTTCTTATATTGTAAAAAAAATTAATGCCTAAATACACTTTTTGTCTATAAATAAAACGTATAATTAAGCAATTTTGTTTATTAAAATGTAGTAAGAATATGGCATTACAGAATTCAGTTTTTTTTTTATTATTTCTAAATGATATTTACAACTGTATTAAATAAATACATCAAGTAAATTTGAACATACGGATATAATGTCATGAAAACGCTTGCTGAGTAACTACCCAATGGTAGCACTCTAATGATATGTCTACATTAGGAGACTACGGAGCCATCTTCTTTTCAGACGCCTCGCAGAGTTATCAGAAATTGAAGAGGAAGCAAGGTTAGAAACGAGAGGGTTTGGATGATTCTGAAGTTTATTATGGAAGGATAGGTATCTGGATTGGGCCAGATCTGGAACAAAAGAAACATTAAGGTCATTATGGATGGTTTTATTTGTAACAAAGTAGGGAGCATTGAGGATTTTACGAAGGTTTTTGGATTGTAAGGATTGGATAAGAGAGGAATTCGATGGTTTAGTGGCCCGATAGCTCAACTCCGTAAGTCCAAATAGGCCTTATTATAGTCATGTATATGAGTCTTTTGTAATTAATTGGAAGTTTAGACCGTTTGTCTAGTAAGTGCTGCAGTAGTCGGAAACGTCGAGCAGTTTCTTGTCGTTTCAGTCTAGTAGAATTCAGTTTAAAGAAAAGATCCTGGTGCCAGACTGTATCAAACGCTTATGTGACGTCCAAAATATTCCAGTTGCATATAGTTTGTATTCTAAAGCTCTTATATAGTATTAATATAGTCCACGGGCGGATCTACGGGGGGAGGGGAGCTTTCGGGCTGAAGCCCCCCCCCCCCAAATGGTAAAATATAACCATGTTTCATCGACAAAAATATTTAAAAAGTATCTCTTAAAGTATTATTGTTCGTGTGATTAATATTAAAAGGGCTTTAGGAATCACTTAAACACTATTTCATATAGGTTGTTAGTTTCTTTCTTTTTTTCTAAAGCAATTATGGTTATTTTTATGAAAAAAAAGCTTTCAGGCTGAAGCCCCCCCCCCAAAATTAAATTCTGGATTCGCTAGTGATATAGTCAGTAACTCGGTGTACTTGATGTATCATCGAATGGAATGTGTGCAAGCTAAGCTGGTGATCATGTATTAACTGTCGGTCTGTCAATATGTAAACAAGGCTTTTCTATATTAATTTTTCAAATACTTTACAGCATACAGGAATGAGACCAATGGGTTCCAATAAGAATAATTATATAATAATATAAATTGGCAATAAGCCTCTATGTATAATACCTATTTCTAAAGAAGTTTGCCCGAACTATGTTTCCGTTCTGCTTATTTTTTGTTGATAAAAAATGTTACAATCTGAACTACAGAATACAGGTAAAGTACGATTATACAATTCGAAAGAGTAGTTTAATTAAATGAACAATTGTATAATTTCTAAAATGGGAGTTGGTCCGCCACTAGACGGACAGAGAATAAACCTTCTATATTCTCATTATTTAGGATTTAAAAACTAAATTTTTAGGAAACGATTTTTGTAATTATTTTAAAAGAAACTATCAATGTTCCATATACTCACAAAATCATGTTGTCAATTTTTTAAATATAATAATTAGTTTATTATTTTCAATAATGAAATATTGTAATCGTACTAAAAATTCAAAAACTTAATTCCCTCTCAAAATTTGAGGTTTTACGTTTCACGATACGTAGAATTTGAAAAACGAATAAAAATGTTTTTATCCGTCAGCCGTCCGCGCATTTTCTCCGAAAAAACTGGACCGATTTTTTTTTTTTTTTAATTGGGATTCAGAGGTCACCCGAGGATGATCCTCGTTCATCGACTGGCGGCCGAAAAACCTATGTTGCTAAGGACTGTAGGGCCTAAACGAATGTACCGATTTCAATGAAACTTTGCTAAAGTCTTCTTCTTGATGCCCTTTAAATTTATTTATATCACATACTTCAACAAAAAGAAGCTGGAAAAAAAGTTATGAAGGATGGTAACATTAGAGTCTGAATAACTCAAAAAGTGTACACTTTTTATGTTTTTTTAAATGTTTTTGGAATTTCCTAAAAAAATCGTTAAATTGGGACGATTAGGAGCAAAGATGTTTTTATGTTTTACTGCAAATCCTTTGTTTGGGATTTTGATTTTATAATGTATTACTGAAGTAATGCTATTTTTTTTTAGCACATTACTAATCATAAAAAAAAAAATGTTACGACAAATATTTGAATTAACTTTTTATTTGTTTTAATTTGTCACAAGAAAGGTAATGTTACTTTAGATGTATAATTGTTGTGAAATAATTTGCAGTGTTTTTAAATTTACAGCGTTACAGAATAGATGTTTTAGCGCAACACATGAATTTTCTAAACTTGTAGAAGGTTTGCTGTGTTTCTTTAAGACATTATTTATTTTTATCTTTTTTTCGCAAAGGCCTTTATATATCCAGAGAAGCTCAAGCAGTTTCGACTACGCTTGCATTGTTTTGTTTTTTTACTTTCTTGAAACCCTTTTCTATGAACTACTTCTAGGGCTTTTCGTTTTTCCTAAAAATGAAGTACTTTACTTACAATTTTTTTTTTTTTTACTATGATTTCACGTTTCTATTATTATTTCAGATAGTAAATTTTTCTTCGAAAACTCCAAGCGCTTATTCTTTCTTCAAGTGAGCGCTGTGTATGGAATAACAACCGAAGGACTTGAAAAAGTTTATAACCAGCCAGAAGTAAAGGATCTCATCGCTTCATCGGAGGTCTTCGACGCTGTCATCACAGAGACCTGTTTTTTTCAAGAGGCCAACGCAGCTCTGCACCACAGGTTCAATGCAGTCGGTGTTGAGATCTGCTGCTTGGGAGAAAGATCTTGGATTAACAGCGTAGCTGGACTTCCAGACAATACGGCCTACATGATAGATTACAGGTGATTCTTCATAATATTTCTTGGTGTGTTCTGATTAGATACAAACACATTTTGAACCAAAATAAAAGTTTAAGAACTATTTTGAACTAGCATCATGTTCTCTTAATTTTGATAACCCGTATTTCATCATATATTCTATTACCATCACATATATGTAAATTTAGATTAATCAGTTTCCACGCACTGCATTGATTTTTTATAGGTCCCCGTACACTGATAACATGTCTCTGTTAGAAAGAATCCACAACAGCTACATTACTCTCACAGTCTTGCTGACTAGCCAGTTTTATCTGTCCCGAATGGAAGACGTTGCGAAGAGGTCGCTGAAATACCACGGTAGCAAGGATCGACCACCGTTGGATCACATCCTGGCCAACATCAGCATGATCTTGGTGAACAGTCATCCAGCGTTAAGCTATCCATATCCAACTTCTCCTCACGTCAAAAAGATTGGAGGAGTCGTAATACAGAAAAAGTCTAAACCAGTTCCAGAGGTATTTGTTCATTTATTATTGAATCACACTTTGAATCAACCTCGCAGAAGCAATATATTTTTTCAAAACTTCTATTTTATCTTTTGTCTTTGAGGAAAACCTTACGGAAAACAGTTTTGCAGAAAGCTGTATCTCTATCTCACCCCTTCATTTATAATACATAAATTGTTATTTGATAGCTTATCAAATCAATTATCATAGTGCATTATCAGCAGATTTTTAATACATATTACATATTACAGATACATACATATACATATACATATACATATACATATATGCATACATACATATTATTTATATACATATTACTTTGCATAGTTTCGTTCATTATATTTATTCGTGTTTCGTATGATTTTTAAGAAGCGATAAATACCAACCCCATATAAAATTAAAATAAAAACAAACGATAGAAAATAATAATTTGATTATTTTCTTCTCAATAAAATATTATTTTCACGAGAACCTAACCAGATAATTTATTCCAGCACATTCGGAACTTCTTAGACAATGCGAAACATGGCGTGATATACCTGTCTCTGGGAACTAATTTGGCCATAGTGTCTGAGAGTACAGAATTCGGAGATGTTGCGAGTACTTTGATGAAAGTCTTTGGCAATTTGAAGCAGCGTGTATTGATGAAGTGGGACACTGAATATCCAAAAGATCAGATACCAACTAACGTCATGATGTCTTCTTGGTTTCCTCAGCAACAGATATTAGGTATTTCACCACATTAATAATAATTCCTATAATCTTCATTGACATAACAGAAATAAGACGTTGTTTAAAAACAAATAAACAAAAATAGTAATTTTGTACTAGTGGATTCCGTATTTTCCACTATCCGCATTAATACATCATACCTAGTTTTGAATCTCTATTTTTGACTAACCTATAAATTACTAAGCAAATTTACGACAAACAGGTTATTAGTTGTTGTCATTTTTTTATGAATGAAAAATAACATTATTAATATGATTTAGTAATAAGGTTCTCTTCCAAACTTTAGGTCACAATCGAACAATACTATTCATTACTCACGGCGGATACTCCAGTTTATATGAATCAGCCTATTTTGGTATCCCTATCATCGGAATTCCATACTTTGGAGACCAGCCGAAGAATGTTCGGGCAGCAGTCGCTGCAGGCTTCTGCATCAGGGTGGATTATAACAATGTCACAGAAGGTTCTCTGACTTGGGCAATCAAAGAGATACTGAACAATAAAAGGTAGCATTTTTCTACATTTGTGTAATCATTGGGACTGATTTTCATTACAGATACGACATGAAGGAATGTATTTTTAAACAGAAAAATTCACATATATTTATTTTCTTTTTTATTCATAAACCTAATGATTGAAAATAATCAACCCTCCAGGTACAAAGAAGAAGCGGAAAGAAGGTCTTCTATGCTGAGGGACACACAAACTTCACCCGTGGATGATGCTGTGTTTTGGATTGAGCACGCCATCAAATACCCAAACTCCCTGACTCCGCGTTCAGCATACATGTCCTTCATTGTAGTTAACTTGATTGATATTAAAATTATTTTATTGATCGTCATTATAAGCTTGTATTACATAGCTCGGAAGTTTGTTGGTAGCAACAATTACAAAATTCCAGGCAAAAAAGAAAAAACATTATGAATCTATCGTAAGCGATATAACGAAGCGAAGGAAATGAATATTAATAAATTGTATTATTGTTTATTTATTAATTATTCAGAGATGATTTTCATATCTCTCTTTCATAGTTTTATTTCACAAAGTTCGGATATTTATTGTTTGTAATAACTTCAAAATTCCTTCCAAAAACGAAAATCTTTATAAATATTTTGATGGCACTGAAATAACAATGATATGTAAATGGAAAAGTAAGTAGTTATTTTTTTTATTCATACTGTGCATATTTATGTGTGTATATATATATATATATATATATATATATATATATATATATTTATATATCTTAAATAAATATGTCTTCTATTCTATATTTATAGAATATAACCATAATTACAAACATAACCTGCGTAGTTCCTACACAGTATTTCATGCGGTATATGTACATTAATAAATAAAATAGTGTATAGTGTGGTCAATGCGTGATTTTCATACTTACACCTAATATGCCTTGGTTAGTTTGCAGAGGACGTCCCCACTTTTCTCAGCTCAGCATCCGTTAACTGATGCAGGTATACTAATTTACACTAATTGTATAAAGTATACATATAAGGAAGGCTATGATGCCCCACTATTATCCACATCTATTTGGATTTATCTGATTAATCATAACTGTACAGATTTCCGATTAAGAAATTGTAAGTATTAAATGTAATATATGATTTAATTTTGATTATAATCCATTCTTAATTCTGTGAAATCATTAAATGTTATTAAAGTAAAAAATATTATTCATTTTTATTTTAAAGTGTTTTTTTTTTCAAATATTCACGAACTCATAAAATCACGGCACAAGTTTCGGCACAACTATGAAGTCTTTCATTGTTATTCATTCATTATCTCATTATTCAACTCACAAATTAAGTCATTAAAAGCAATGCATGAATTATAATATTCCATACATTAAAAAAAAATTACTTATTCTATTTCAGCAAACCATAATAAATATACTACGAATTAATTCATAAATATTAATTTTACGAAACAAAATATTAAATTTCTGTTTATTCAGTTTTTTAAACTCAGCGAATCCATCTGCATGCCAATCTAATATCTCACAGTCCGTCGGAACATTGAATGAAAATAAGGGGAAATGAAGAATCAGCCATATAAAAAGGAATAATTTTCAAAATTACGACTACTCAGAATAATAAAATTTAAACATCACGTTATCGTAAAGAGTTTATACGTTGGCGAAACTGAGAGCGTTGTAAAGGCTATAGTTATATAGGTTAGGATGTGGTATACGTATATTTCACTGAAATGCTCTCTTTATTTTCTAGGGTGACTTTTAAGCTGCTATCAAATGTGTAACATAAAACCTCCATTAGTCTTTATGCCCCTTTCTTTTTACGAGTTAATAGCATTAGACAATAAAATGTTTTATTATTAAGCAAGATAATGTAAAATTATATAACACTTAATCAAACATTGCCTGTGTTGAGAACGAATAGTAAGCGATTCAAAAATGTAGAATCCTAAGGCTTCAAATCGTAAAAATCAATATATAGATCCAAATAATGATTTATAAAATCATCCACTTTTCTTCAACCACTAATTAAAAATAGTAGAGTTCAACCATTGCTAAACTTGAAAAACATAAAATGTGGTATAAGTGAGTAGGAAAACTAAATTTTTACAAAAACTCGAATTTTAAGAATGAACATTACATAATAACAAAAAAGGTAATTTCCTAAACTCAGCTATCGATATATTTCCATCAATCGAATGAATCCATCACCTATGCACAGGGGGGTAGGCTGATTTAGGAACGACCTGATGGATTCCAGTTGATGCTGCAGGAAGGTTATTGAAGACATAAAATTTGTAAAAAGGGATAAAAACATAAAAATAAAAATAAGATGGAATTTTTCATTTTCCATAGGATTTTTAACGAATAATTTACATTTTTATTAAATATATGTTGGCAAAAAAACTGGCTTAATGGAGATTCAATAATGAGGAGGAGACCTGGTATGGTAATAATAGTGCAAACTTTCAAAAAATGTAATTAAAGATCCTATAGGATTTTGTATGTCAAATGTACGAAAACATACTTATAATAATAGAATAGATTGTTTCGAAAATTTCTTTAAACACACACAAAAAAAGAAAATCTGAGCCCTTGTTATAAGGAACTTGGTGGACTAGTTCATTCATTACTGGCACAACAGACGCAAGTACGCTCTGTTGGCAGCCATTATTCTAGCTCCTATCTCCTCCTCTTCGTTATTGCTGTTGTTAATTATGGACCCGAGGTAGGTGAAGCTTGATACAGCTTGAAAAGTGTGGTTTCCTAAGACATAATGCTGTGTTGGATGGACAATTTTTTTCTTCCTTAAAACAAGGACCTTAGTTTTACTTTCGTTGATGCACAGCCCCATTTTCCCTGCCTCATTCTCCAACCTACTGAATGCACTCTTCACTGCTTGAAGTGATCGCGGACTACTTGCGGTCCTGAAACCAAATTCATCCAACAAAACGACTTGAAGCTAAAAACGATTTTAAAATCTGTATAATCCTCCATATGTATATGTAAGTATAATCCTCATCTGAACATACAATTCCTGTCCAAATGTTGTATTGTGTATAAAATTTGAAAGATACAAAATTTGACGATTCATTTTAAAACTAAAATCTAAAATTTGGATGATATATGAGGTATAGTCTCGTAAAATTAGGGATTGACCCCAATATTAAAAACGTAAAGTTGAAACTGGTCAGAAATCGTTCATTACTCTCCCCAAAATAACTGGTAAAAAGTCCTGAAGAATCCCGCGGCGGGTTTTGATGGGGGAGGGGAAGGGGAAGTACAGAAAGCTGGTAATTTTTTTTTAGTTTCTTGAAAATATCTTAAAAACTATGAGGTTTTTCGCAAAGGTTGCTAAGCACATCATTAAAGTACTTTAAAATCAATATAAAAATGTATCGATACATTTTTTTTTTTATAAAATCAATGGTTCCGGAGATATTTATTATATTTAAACATATGATTATATTTATTGCCTTTTCACTTTAAGCAAAAATTGCTCCAAAGCACGAAATTGATGTTGTTCATAGTAGACTATACATTTTTGAAATTTAATTAGTTTTTTTAACATTTTCAATCGTTCAAATTATTATTCAAAGTTCTTTCTTTTAATTATTCTTAAAAGTCATTAACAACAGAATTATATAAATTGTAATTTTTAAGCAAACCACGTTTTACGTAGAATAAAAATCAATAACTAAAACAATGTTTAATTTAGGTAATTTGAATCATGAAACTAAAAATTTGGTACAGTCTTTCGCTCGAAAAAACTTAACATACCTTTTAGCGGACTACTGAAATACATAATCCTCCCTGAGGTATTGTTGCCATTGTTGAGTAAAAATTTAACAAGTTATATATACTTTACATGAGCCAAAGCCGTATGTTGTGCCATCTCGTAAATCCATTTGTGACGAATCCATGACATGATTGTTTTACAAAAAGTTGCACTATCTTTCCAAGCTTCTTCAACATCGCTTTATTTCAAGAAACAAGAAGATTAAGTTAATCCTTAGCTGAATTGAGATTGTTTCCCAGCCGGGTGATGGAGATACTCCCATCTCTTTAATCAATTCCTTACCTTGGAAGGGAGAGAGTCCTACAAGTAACGAAGGAAACAGAATGTCTTTGAACTATCTCTCTAAAAGCCGAATAAGAAGGGGATCTTTTCGTTCTGAATTGGTTATCAACAAAGAGTTTTAACAATCTTACATAAATACCCATAATACTTACATAAAATAAAATAAAAATATATTTCAACATATAGAATTAAATCTATTTTCTTATTCAATTAAAAACAAAAAAATTCAAAATGACCTTTCGATGATTTAAAATTAAAAAAATAATGTTTGATTTATTTTGTTTCTTATGAGTTATGAAGGTGCGTTGATATATTTCATAAGCTATGGGATAAAAAAATATATAAACAAATCAGATGAAATTATCTGAATTATGAAATTATTATATACATTTAAAATATTTTGAATTGAAGAATTAAAAAAAAACAATTTATTTATTTATTTTTTTTGTTCTCCCCTTCCTTTTAGGCCATACGACGTTTTCCAGGTACGAGGGAAGGAATTATATATGTATATACATATAATTCATGAATGCTTCTATCAATATTTACAACTACTTCAGTGTATTTATAAGTGATAAATTTTTTTAAAAAATCCGAACTGATCATACAATAATTTAAAATAAGAAAACACAAACATGCTAAGCCTTTCCCTTAAACCACATGCGGTTCTACGGAGGTGGGAAGGGGGCTGAAGCAGCCCTTCTTTTTTCATTCATTTAAAATTTGTTAAAAAAGTACCTTATATTTTATTTAACACCAAGGATATTTAACTTTTATAATAAAAGTGTTAGAAGATTAAATATTTTCCTACCATCATGTAATAAGTATAAACATATTTTTTTAAATTAAATTTTGATTGTATTAAAGTTATTTAAATAAATTTAATTATATTTTCTAGCTTGATATTAAATTATATTAAACTACATAATCTTTAAATACTTTTCAGAAATAATTTAAAATATTTGAATAATGTTTTCTTATTAAGAAATAGGCATTGCTGCAGTTGCAAATTAATTATATATATATATATATATATATATATATATATATATATATATATATATATATATATATAATATATATATATATATATATATATATATTCATAGTTGGTTTAGGAATAATTAAATTTGTACCTAATAAATGAGTAATAAAATACCTTTAAAAGATGTTGAAACTGACCATCGTTATAGACAGTATCAACTTGAATGTTTGCAACATTACTCTGGCTGTGCCTAGGCGCTAACTCTCAGCCAATCAGATTGCAGTATTATTCTGATCAAGTTGGCATTTATCACAGATCAGCAGTGCACGTCTATAATAGATTAGTATATCTATGGCGCCGTTCGGTGTGTATCGGTTTATTTTATTTTAAATGTGTGTAAAGTGTTATAAATGTGGTAAAATTCATTATTATTAGTTTGTTAAATATTAAATTATTGTATTGCTTAAATCCGTAGTGAAAACAAAGTAAAAAAAAAA